TTCGATGGGGCTCCCTATGGGGTCACGAAACGCTGTACTGGGCGTGCGGGGCGCATGCGGGCGGTAGAGCGGGGACGTTCGGTGGGGCTCCCGATGGGGTCGCAAGACGCTGCGCTACGTGGGTGAAACGCAGGGAGGAGGGGGAGGAGGGTCACGAAACGGTGTAGTGGGTGTGCGGTGCGCATGCGGACGTGGAGCTCCCTATGGGGCCACGAAGCGCTGTACTGGGTGTGCGGGGCGCACGCGGACGGTAGCACTGGGACCTTCGGTGGGGCTCCCGATGGGGCCACGAAGCGCTGTACTGGGTGTGCGGGACGCATGCGGACGGCAGGGAGGAGGGGGAAGAGGAGGAGCGACGGAACGCGGGGAACGAGGACCCAACACCACAGGATGGTTGGGAGAAATGCCCTCCCCGAAACAACCATCGAAAACTATTACACGGCCTGCGTCGATCCGTTTATTGTTTGGGCCGCAGAAGCCCCTCCCCCACTTCGGGGCGTCGCCACGCTTGAAAGCTGGGGGCAAGACGATCAAGCTGGTGCAGACTGGCCTCAAGCCTGGGATGCTCTGGGCAGCGGGAGTTCACGGCATCAGCAACACGCACCTACTGAGCGCCAGGCAACTGGCGCGCGCGGGCATGGTCTACAGGCACACGGGCAGGTCGCTCTCATTGGACCTCATGCTGGCTGGGCCGCAGGTCGACCCCGCCTTCGAGTGCAACAGGAGCCCGATCTTCCTCTGGCTGCAGGCGCTGTGGGACGGATGGGCCCCCAGAGCAGATATGGCGCGACTTCTGAGTGGAGCATGGACACGCCTGTCTAGAGTTCCTGTGTCTCAAGTTTGGTCCGACATTCGCGGACCTGCTTCTGCGCTAGTTGCGACACTCTTGCGTTTGGGTTGGTCTGTATCTGACCCTTTTCATTGGAAGACCCACCGAGGTCCTCTTGCAATTGAACAGATTTCCCCGAAGGATGGAGGGAGGTTAGTTGATGAGGCCACCGAGCGGTGGGTGTGGCGCCAGGTTCTCGCGAAGCATCCCTCGTGGGTCTCGCCCTGCCCTCATCCTCCTCTCGTGGAGCCCCTGAGGTCCCTCCTCCAGCCTCATTCTGTCCGAGGCCCTGACTGGACCCCAAGGCATCAGGGACTGCTGCGGTGCCTGTTTGCAGGAGGGTTCTGGTCGCAGGAGCGACTGTACGAGTCAGGTGGAGCCGTCAACCCGAGCTGCCTTGCCTGTCAGAGTGCTGGATCTACCTGGCACCGATTCTACGATTGCCCCCTGCAAACCGAGTTCCGTCGGGATTACAGAGCTGGCAGTGCCATGGCTGGTCAAATGCTAGACATGGCTCGAGCTGCTGCGGTGGATACCTTGCTTTTCACGCGCTTTCTTGTCCCTGACCCTGCTTGGCTCTTCCCGAGCCCCTGCCTCGAGGAGCGAGTCGTGTGGACGGTGCGGTCTCCCGACTTGCTGCTCGACGTGCACGTGTTCGGTGATGGGTCGGGGAGGCACGGAAGTTTCTCTCGCTTACGGCGCTGCGGATGGGGACTCTGTTCGCTTGACGACAGCAAGCGAGTGGTTGCTCGCCTGCATGGCCCTCTGCCCTGCCTCATTCAATCTGTGCCAGCGGCTGAGCTTTTCAGTTTCTTGATGGCGCTGAGGTATATGGGAGCTCAGATGAAGTTTTATACGGATTGCAAGCCGCTCGTGGATGTCTGGCGCCAAGGCGTTGGAGCGGGCACCGCTGCGAGTGACCCGCTTGCCTTACTTGGGAGGGAGGTTTGGAGGCTTGTGTCTGACCGTGGGGGTGAGTCGGTGGAGGTTTCTCACGTCAAAGCGCATACTCCTGCCTCTGCCGTAGCAGAGGGACGGAGTTCAGAATGGCAGCGTGTCGGCAATGCCCAGGCTGATCAGTCGGCTAAATGGGGTGCCGCCATGCATAGTGATTCCCTCCAGCTGCGATCTGCGCATGGCGCGTCGCGCAGCGCCATCCGCCTTGTAGCCCAGTTCTGTGCCAGGCTGGTCGCTCGGATCGGCACCATCACGCCACGTGACGCCCAAGCGCAAATACTCGGCCGTGCCATAGGCACGATTGAGGGGGGACTTGGTCCCCCGAAGCCGCACTCGCGTTTCGACCCTGCAGTGACGGTGGTTGCGCACAGGTTCCGATGCATGGTGTGCCTTCGATCAGCGAGGACACGCTCGGTGCTTCGCCAGCTTCGATGTGACGACAGGTCCAGCTCCCACGCACTTCACCGCGCGGGGCCTTTCCTGTTCTGCTCTCTGTGCGGGGCATTTTCGGAAAAGAAGAGCCAGGGTCTTTCGCAGGATTGCTTACCGATGAATCGTAGGCAGGGTGTCCAGGTGAGAGACTCGAGATACTACAGGCTGCGCAACCTCATGCGAGGCTGCCATCCTTTACGGGCCCGCGATTTTGTGGGCCCTCCGATTTTGCTGCGGAAGCGAAGGCTGCTGGAGTCGGCCGAACTGCCGCCTCTGCCTGCTCTTTCTCCTCCTGTCGGGGCTGGGAGTGGGGGGGGTGGGGGTGGGGTGGACGGGGCAGGAGTGCTCTCCGCCGCCCGCTTTCCAGGCCGATCTGGCCTTGTGGGACGGCCTCTCTGGCTTTCCCATTGCCAGCGTAGAGGAGGACGACGGCGACCCATCCCAAGGTGCGTGGGGTCGGGTCGAATGCGTCCCCTGCGCTGGCTAGCTGTTTTTCAAACGAAGGCTGGTTCGCTTGCGGTCAGTCTCTGTCAGTATAAAATCGTGCTCCCGCAGCAACGCTGGCCTCATTTCCGCGCGTCCGCTCGTTCCGAATCGTGTTCCCGCTGCAGCGCTGGCGTCATTATTTCCAGCGCCATGCCACGGTATGGTGTTCGGTCCTTCCAAATAGCCCCAACATCTAAAACATGCCTTCCCGAACCAACCATCGGAAGTGATTACACAGTCAGTGTAGATTCGTGTTTTTTTTGGTCCGCAGAAGCCCCCCCACCACCACGTTGGGGCGTCGCCATGCAATGCTATGTCAGGTTACGCGTTGATCTTCAACACCATGCTCTGCCATGGAATGCTATGCCCTGCTGGGGCATCCAACTGTGCGAAGAAAAGGGATCTACGCCATGGTAAGGGATGGGAGGGAGGGGTAGGATGTCAAACATCATGCGACGGCACCTCGCTTGTCCTTCCCCCCCTCCTCCTCCTCCTCCCCTCCTCCTCCTCCTCCTCCTCCTCCCTCCTCCTACCTCCTCCACCCCCCTCCTCCTCCTCCCCTCCTCCTCCTCCTCCACCTCCTCCTCCTCCCTCCTCCCCTCCCCTCCTCCTCCTCCTCCTCCTCCATCCTCCACCTCCTCCTCCACCTCCTCCTCCTCCTCTCCTCCTCCTCCTCCTCCTCCTCCTCCTCACCTCCTCCTCCTCCTCCTCCTCCCTCCTCCTCCTCTTTCCCTCCTCCTCCTCTCCCCCCATTTTCTTGCTCCTCCTCCTCCTCCTCCTCCTCCTCTTCCCCCTCCTCCTCCTCCTCCTCATCCCCCTCCTTCTCCTCTCCTCCTCCTCCCCTCCTTCGCTCCTCCTCCACCTCCTCTTCCTCCCCCTCCTGCTCCACCTCCTCCTCCACCTCCTCCTCCTCCTCCTCCTCCACCTCCTACCTCCCCTCCTCCCCTGCCCCTCCTCCTCCGCTTCCCCCTCCCCCTCCCCCTCCCCCTCCCTCCCTCACCTCCTCCTCCTCCTACCTCCTCCTCCTCCTCCTCCTCCTCCTCCTCCTCTCCTCTCCTCCTCCTCCTTCCTCCTCCTCCTTCCCCTCCCCCTCCCCCTCCCCTCCCCCTCCCCCTCCCCCGCCTCCGCCTCCGCCTCCGCCTCCGCCTCCGCCTCCGCCCTCCACCTTCCCCTCCTCCTCCTCCTCCCCTCCCCTCCTCCCTCCTCCTCCTCCCTCCTCCTCCCCCCTCCCCTCCTCCACCTCCCCCTCCCCTCCTCCACCACCTCCTCCTCCTCCTCCTCCTCCTCCTCCTCCTCCCCTCCTCCTCCTCCACCCTCCTCCTCCTCCTCCTCCTCCTCCCCCTCATACCTCCTCCTCCTCCTCCTCCTCCTCCTCCTCCTCCTCCACCACCTCCTCCTCCTCCCCCTCCCTCCCTCCTCCTCCTCCTCCTCCTCCTCCTTCTCCTCACCCTCCTCCTACTCATCCTCCTCCTCCTCCTCCTCCTCCTCCTCCTTCTCCTTCTCCTTCTCGCCCTCCTCCTCCTCTTCCTTGCCCATGCGCCCTGGCTCGAGGAGGAGGGAGGGAGGGATGAGCGACCTCAAAACTCGAAGAACTTCCCGGCGCAATAGCCAATGCGGCAAAAGGAACTAACTGCCTGGCCTCAGGGAGGTGGGGCGGGAGGGGAGGGGGTCGAGGAGGACAAGGCGCAGCAGCGGCGGGCTGGAGGGGGGATGGGGAAGGGAAGGCAAGGGAGGTCTGTGGTGGGGCGTGCAAGAGGGGGGGCGGGGGTGGGGACGCATCATGGCCCGAGGCCTCTGCGCGGCTCAGGGGGGGACCAGGCGGCGTGCCGAAACGAGACAAGGGCGCGCCGGCAGAGCCTATGGCTCTGGCCACGAGATCCCCCACACCCCAAAGTCATCACCTCGACCTTGGCCGCCCACGAGACGCCCGTTCCCCGTGCATTGTTTCAATTTCGTGCATGGAGGAGGAAAAACCCAACGGCAAGAGTGCACTGGTCCTCCTCCTCCTCCTCCTCCTCCTCCTCCTCCTCCTCCTCCTGCTCCTCCTCCTGCTCCTCCTGTTAATCCTCCTCCAGCATGTTCCCCTCGCTGGCGTCCTCCACATCGTCCTCATCTCCCCCCTCCCCCTCCAAACCCACCCCCTTCTTCTCTCCTCACCATTCTCCTAAGTAATACCCTCCTTCTTCTCTCCTCCTCTTTCTCCTCCTCCTCCTCCACCTATCCCCCGCCTCAACTTCTACTCCGCCCTCCTTATCCTCCACCCATCCCCCCCTGCCCTTCCCCTCCCTTGCCGCGCTCCTTGTGGCAGAGGGCGTTCATGTACCCGTGTAGCCGCTGCACAAGCACCTCCAAGGAGCTGACGGGGGATGCAAGGAGGCAGCCGTCCCATACCCCCGACGTCATGTTTTGTTCACAACGTCGGTACCGAAATGTCGGCACCCCTTCACAAGGACTGGATCTGTTTTCTGGATAAATGTTTGACAGTCCCGATGCCCAGTGAGGGCCCCCAGACATCGAAAACAGCGAAAAACCTTGCGTAGTGTTCTTGGATAGCCCGAGGGATCCGAAGGGCAGTGCGAGTGGAAAGCGTACTCGGCCGTGCTGGCCCAGGGGAGTCTCCGAAGTGACGCTGCGGCCGCAGGCGCCGCAGCCGGAGCCGAAGCGCAACAGGGCGGGAGGGTGCACTGGAGAGGAGGACGGCGCAAGCGGCAGCAGCAGCACAGGTGGCCTGGGGAGCAGCAGCATGGACTGAGGAAGATCGGATAGATTTGACCGACCGCGAAGCGAAGTTACGGTACCCAAACACCAAGCACGAGCATTCGGCTCGGCCATAAGGCTACTTACACTTGGGCCCACCTCCAGCATGGAAGGGAACGGTTTGTCCCCCTCCCAGGGATGGAAGGCGGGCACGCAGGGAACGCACACGCGGACGTATCGGGGAGGGGGCCAGGCGTCTTGGAAGGAGGCTGGTTCTCAGAAGGCGCCAGCCCTGCATCTGCAGAGGAGGCCCGCGCCTTCTGAGATGCAGGGTGCTCCAACAACACCGTGCCCCCCCCTCACCCCACCCCGCGTGGCCGAAGCAGGGAGGGAGGAGGGCGTCCATCTCTCCGAGGGGGCTGGAGGAGGAGGAGGAAGCGGAAGAGGAGGAGGAGGAGGAGGAGGTAGGAGGAGGAGAGGCGAGTGAGGAGGGTGAGAGGAGAGGAGGATGAGGAGGAGGTAGGAGGAGGAGGAGGAGGGCGGAGGAGGGAGGAGGAGGGAAGGAGGAGGAGGAGTGAGGCGGAGGAGGAAGGGGGAGGAGGATAGGAGGAGAGAGAGGAGGAGGAGGAGGAGGGAAGGAGGAGGAGGAGGAGGAGGGAGAGGAGGAGGAGGAGGAAGGAGGAGGGAGGAGGAGGAGGAGGCGGAGGGAGGATGGGATGATGAGGGGAGGGAGGAGGGGGATGAGGACGGGGCGAGGAGGAGGAGGGCTGCCGATGGTGGCCCTCTCCGGAGCCCGACACTGTGGTGAGCGAACGTTAGAAAGTAACGTAGCAGAGACTCCAACGGCGGACAGTGAAAAAACGAACGCAGGACCTCCCTCTTGCGGCCCACGCGGAGGGGGGGAGGGGGGATAGCCCAGAACCATCTCGGGGCCCCCGCGGCCCTCGGGCCGGGGGGTCCTCCACCTCCTCACTCCTCTCCTCCCTCCTCCCTTCCCCCTCGCCCTCGGTCCCTTCCTCACTCCTCCACGCAAACCCCTCAACAAGGTTAACACGCCTCCCTCTCCCCCTCCTGTCGCTCCTCCTCCTCCCCACCCCCCTGTGCCGCGCTCGTCGCCCGTCACGGCTGCCCCGCCCCGCGGCGGGCAACCGCCAATCGAGCGTGGCCGCACGGTCATGCGCGGGGGATTCCGAATCACAGGAGCGACGATCAGAGACGGGTCTTGCGCGAGATGAGATGGCGACCTGGCACGGCGGCTTACGCGGGCCGCCGGCGCGGCACGCCACATTGAAAACGAGAGCGCTTACGCGCGACTTTACGTGGGGAGCTTACGCGCCAATGTCGGCGCAGTTGGGCCCGTATTTTTTTCGTCGCCCACATGGAAATCCAGGGGGAGGTCGGGCGTGTCCCCCTACAGGGGGATTTTGGGCGACACATAAAAATAGTCAACAAATGCCCCCAAATGATCAAACGAAAAATCGCCCCCAGACGAGTTTTGTTAATTATATTTTGGATGTTCCTCCTGTGGAGGGACATGCCCCGACTTAAATCCAGCGGGAGGCACCGACCAGCCATAACTGGGGGAGCTGTGGTCTTTACCCCCCTGGGGGAACCCACCGCATCGACGATCTCTCGAGAGGGGTGTCGAAATCGATGGGTCCCCCAGGGGGGTAAGGACCACCTACCAAACCACCCCAACCCAACCCGAAGACCCGAATTTGACCCGAATTTCGGGTTGGGGGGGGGTACGGGTTCCACATGTTTTTTCGATGCTCCTCGACCCCCCCCCCCACTGGAAATGGAGGGCAAATCGTGGCCTTCGGGTTGGGTTGGGGTGGTTTGGTGGGCGGTGAGGTAAGGACCACAGCTCCCCCAGTTGTGGCTGGCCCGAGGGAGGGTCAGGGGGACGTAAGACCTGGGTACAGGGGTCTCGGGAATCCCCGACGAGGCCGTCAAAAAATGACGAGGCCGAGCCTGCATTTTGACGAGGCCTCCCGCTGCAGACATCCCACGAAACTCCTCCTCGTCAAAATCCGAGGTGCGGTCGTCAAAAAACGATGGCGAACCCGAGTCCTGGCAAAAAACCCCCTGGTCTTAATTACGCTCCCCCGATCGAACCCCCCGACGGTTGTGGCTGGCCCGAGGGAGGGGGGGCACGTACAACGGAGCGGAGCAAGAACGTGAGGGGCCCCCCCTCGGCCCTGGCGGGTCCGCTCCCACCGCGTGGACCGCCCGCAGCGGGCGACCGGCACTAAAAGAAAAGAAAAAATTCGCCAAACCCGAGCTGGAGCCGTACTGGCCACGGACAAGAGGGTGACGACGGGCCTGCTTTCCCCACCACCCGACCACAACAGGAGGGGGGGGGGGTCCTCCTCCTCCTCCTCCTCCTCCTCCACCTCCTCCTCCTCCTCCGCTTTTTTTCGGGGGGCCTCCTCTCCTCTCCTCCTCTCGTCCTCCTCCTCCTCCTCCTCCTCCTCCACCCTCCTCCCCTCTCCACCACTCCCCCTCCACTGGGCGTCCCCCTCCTCTTATCCTTCTCCTCCTCGTCCTCCTCCTCCTCGTCCTCCACCTCCTATCCCTCTTCAACTTCTGGTGGTAGTGGAAAACGGGATCACCAACAGGGGGCGGGAAGGAGGAACCACAGCGGAGGAGAACGGCGGAGGAGGACCGGGCATGCTGAGGATCCCAGGCTCCCAGGCCCCCGGCGTGATTCCGTTTCGCAGCGTCGACGCCCCAAACTCAAGACTCTGGACCCCCCTCCTTCTCCTCCCCACTCCTCCTCCTCCTTTCACCCCTCCTCCTCCTCCTTACCTCCTCCTCCTCCCTCCTCTCCTACCTCATCCTCCGCCTCCTCCCTCCTCCTCCTCCTCAGCTCCCTCCAGCCCTCTCCTCACCACCCCTCAAGACTCTGAGCCCTTTTCGAGGAGACCTCGGACCTTCATCCCGATCCGTCCTTTGACGGCCCCGAGGCCCACGCCGAAGGCCCCCGGAGAGGTTCGAGCCGGGGCCGAGAACTCGCCCCTCGCCGTGCTGTGCCCTTCGGTCTCGAGAAGGGGGGTCGGTGGCGGGCCAGGCCTTGTCCGGGAACCTCAGGGCCCGGCCCCGCGCTCCTCGGGCGCCAGTCCAGGAGCCAGAACCGCTCCACGGCGTCGGCGTCCACTTGCCCTCCCGCCCGCGCCTTCCTCCGTCCTTGTGGGGCGTGGGCGCGCTCACGCCGCCGAGGGGGCCGGGGGGGGGGGGGGGGGGGGGGGGTCGAGGAGGGCATGCCTGCGAGGAGGCGGTCGAGCTCCCCGCACTCCTCTCTCTCTCTCTCTCTCTCTCCCGCTGCTGCTCCTGCTCCTGCTCCTGACTCTCCTCCTCCTCCTCCTCCTCCTCCTCCTCCTCCTCCTCCTCCTCCTCCTGCTCCTGCTCCTGCTCCTGCTCCTCGTCTCTGTCTCTGTCTCTGTCTCTGTCTCTGTCTCTGTCTCTGTCTCTGTCTCTGTCGCTGTCTCTGTTTCTTTCTTTCTTTCTTTCTTTCTTTTTTTTTCTCTCTCTCTCTCTCTCTCTATCGGCCCTGGTTTCGTTCAGACGCGGCCACCCTCCTGTTCCTTCTCCTCCTCCCCCTCCCCTCCTCCGCCTCAAGGGTCAAGGCTGGTGGCCTTGGGGTCCGGCGGACCCGGCAGGCCTCTCTAGGGAGAGGTCTGGAGGTCTTGTTCGGCAGAAGCCTTAAGTCGGGCCTGTCCCCCTGCAGAGGGATTTTCGACGAAAAACAGGAAATACTCAAAAAATGCACCAAAAAGGTCCAGAACTACTCCAAGATTAGTCCACGGACTATTTTTGGACTATGGTTTGATTATTTTTGGGGTATTTTTTATTTTTCGCCGAAAATCCCCCTGTAGGGGGACAGGCCCGACTTAACAGAAGTCTGGAGGTTTGTTCGGTTCCTGTTCGGGCTTCTTTGTCGGTTCCTGCTCGGATGTTCGTTCGCTTCCTGTTCGGGGGTTTGTCCGGCAGAAGTTCGGGAGCTGGCTCTGGAGCTCGTGGGTTTGCTGCAGCTTCCCTCCTCGGCTTCGCCTCCGTCTCCTCCTCCTCCTCCTCCCTCTCCTCCTCCTCCTCCTCCTCCTCCTCCTCCTCCTCCTCCTCCTCCTCCTCCTCCTCCTCCTCCTCGTTTGTCGCCGTGGGGTCCTCCCTCTGTCCCTCGCCCGCCTCCTCCCTCATGCTCTCCGCGCCTGCTGCCCGCGGCGCCGGTGGAGGCCGCGGTGCTCACAGAGACACGCTGGTGCAGCTGGCCTTTGGATGGCCCCATCGTCGCCACGGCTGGACGCCGCTCAGGACTCTCTGTGCTCGGCCGCTAGACTTTCGACAGGAAGCCAGCTTGCCTTGTTCAAGCAGGAGGCGGCTGCAACATGAGGCGAGGCGATGGCCGGAACGCGCATGCACGGGACAGGAGGCTCCGCCAGACACGAGCATGCGGCAGCAAAAGAAGGAAGAGAGGGGAGGGGGGGCGCAGCTCGGAACTCTGGTGCCTCTGGGCCCCCGGAGGGGTCCTTGGCCTTCGGGGGGGCCCCCTGTCGCCAGGGCTGGGCGCAGCTCGGAGCTCAGGTGCGTCTGGGCCCAGGGTGGGATCCAGGTACCGATTGCACCCACGGTCAATAATGAGTACACCATGAATCAGACATTCTAGAGCTGATCGGGGGCTCAAACAAGTAGGACTACGATGACCGAGCTTCACAGTTGACAACTGAAAACAAGACACGACCAAAGCAACCAGGGAGCACAGCCTTTGAGACACAAGCCTTCGCTCCGCGTTCTGGACATGACAAGGCTCTTTCAAATTCTAATCAAGAGCAAGGGAGTTTACCATGTAGATCATATGAACTCTGCCCGAAGGTGGGACGCTTCCTAGCACCGATGGGTGCATGTGCCAAACGGGCAGCCAAAAGGAAATGGGCGGATACAAGCGGCAGCAGGAAACAGCGAGAGGTGAATAGCATGGTGAAAACTATTGCACCCCCCCCGTAGTAAAGATGAGCAACTTTCCAGGATTACCCTTGCATCCTTATCGTGCGTCCTTCTTGAACGGGTTGGTTGTAATGTGATGACGAAGCCAGGAGGGGACAGGAAAGGCAGCACAAACGCGCGCAGCACGTCGCAGTCGCGCGGCCGCAAGCCTTCGAAGGCCACAAAGACGAACTCGCCAAACACCCCCAAGGACGATCACCGGCTTGCGCCGCGCGACGCGACACGTCACCCCAAGAGAAAAAATACAGACAGCCCCATTGCTCCCGACGCCATCGCCTTCCAGCCCTCTCGCCCCTCCTCTCACCTCTCCCCCTCCCTCACGCTAGTGCCTCATCCAGAAACCGCAGCCTTGTACGCCTGCCCTGCCACCTACTGCCAGGGAGGCGCAACGACAGCTGGTTATCGGGAATCTTTCGGGGGCGGCCAAGAAGGGGGCGTCCAAGAGGGGGGGGGTGCCAGATCATGGCCGACGGCAAGGTGCGCGGCCCAGGAGGAGGCCGGGGACGCATTCAAATAAGAACAGGCGCGGTGAAATCTGGGGATGTATCCTGACCTCCGCCATGATCTGCACCCCCCCCACTAGTCATTACCCACCTCGTGAACGCCCCCGAATCTTGCGTGGCCCTCTATAGCTCTGACCAGCGCCGCAGCGGCAGCCACGTGTGTCTGCCAGCCGCTGCCAGGCAGCTACAGGGCGCACGCGCCAGAGAAGATGGGAAACCCGCGCGGGGAATCCAGGACCCGTCCCGCCAACTCCTCCTCCCTCCTCCTCCTCCTCCTCCTCCTCCTCCTCCTCCTCCTCCTCCTCCTCCTCCTCCTCCTCGTCCTCCTCATCCGCCTCCTCCTCCTCCGCCTGCTCTTGCTCCTGCCCATCCTCCTCCTCCTCCTCCTCATCCTCCTCCTCCTCTTCCCTCCTCCTCCTCCTCCTCCTCCTC